ATCTAATAATCGATGGTTAGATCAATAGTCATGTTTACATTCTAAATGTTTACAGTCTAACCATATTCCAACAATTTCATCATGCGATCGGATAATTTCAAGGCAAATCATCGTATGATGTCAATTCCGAATTTATGTCAATTCCGAACTGACATATGTAAGATCGGAATTATAGCATGATTTATGAATCTAGCTGGCATTTTGCTTCAGCATTGTTTTATGCTTATGTCAAGTTATTAGATATTTGTATACACACGAAAATTAAACTCTGCTGAAAGGTCATTTCATCGACAATAATTTCACCGACAGTTGATTTCGCCGACAGCCATTTCACTGACAGTCATTTTCACCGACAATGAATTTAGCCACTTGGAATTTCTTCTTGAAATTTTATGAGGTCATTTATTGAGCCTTTGACCGTTTTGTTCATACATGGAAAATACACGTTATGATTGGACGTTTATTAATGTAAACATGAAAGATAGTGGCTGTGTATGTATTTCGTCAGTTGATTCATAATAACCGCATGTACCAAATCTTTGTCATTAGCTTGGACTTAATTTGAGCCTTTGAATTTTATGACACACTTCCGTTCGAATAACGGAACATTGTAGTGGAGGCAGTTCGCTTATACACCTCTCTAATATGGGGTCATCCAATATTTATTGTGGGAGCTGATGCTGAAATCCGGCTGCGGCTGATGCTGAAACTAACCAATGGGGTTAGAGAATAAAATCTGATCAACCAATGAAAGGTCATTGTTTCAGTCAGCTGTGACATTAAGTGGGCGATGCGATCGACAAACAGCAATAAACTTGTGTCACAAATTTTACTGCAAACGTTTGGGGCTCATTTAATATTACTGAATTCAAAGCATGGGTCGGTTTATAGGTGATATGATACTTATGTCTGCGATTAATTAGCCACATTTGCATAGACTTCAGTTAAAAAAGATGATCTATGATTGTATTCGAAAGTGTTGGTGGCTTCAGCGATCATAGTACACTTAGAAATAATATAACAGATCAAATGTTATTAGTGACCAAACATTTCATACGAATTTCAAACACCTATTACTATTATCTTATCAAATGCCTGTGTATCGTCGCCCAACTAGCATAAAGAAAAACGTACAGCGGACCCCCGAAGTATACAAACAATATAACCATAATTTCAATGCAAGCAGTCCCATAATGCTAAAAAGCATATGATTGCACATCAGGCGCAAACACCAAAAGCAATGGTCGTACAGTTAGATCCACACACATTGACTACATTTACTATCTAACCGTAAACTGCGTTTGATACCTTTACTCACACAAGCCCCCTAGTGAAGCGATGATGAGAACCTCATGAGTAACCCTTCGCATTCACAATTAGCAACAATATCAGTTGGTTATAGCATTAATATATTATTCAATGAAATGTTGTTATATTACTAATTATTCCGATCTGACATGTCAGTTCGGAAGTGACATAAATTCTGATCTGACATATGTCGGAATTGACATACAACAGTTTCATTAGTTAAGAATAAATTTTTATTATACTAATACCACTAACCGGATGGTTGCTAGTAATTATACAAACAATCACTGACATCCCACTATCAAATTAGAGTCAATACTTCAAGTCTCATTTAGAAGTTTGAATCAAGCGACTCTTATAACACACACAACTAATAGCTCGTCTGTAAGAATACAATACTTTTAATCAACAACATTAGTACACATATGTAGTTGACACTGCTTAATATTATTTTTATCTAAACGATTCCAAATTGACATAAATTCCAACCTGACATACAACAAATGGTTGCCTCTTATTAGATTGGCTCGGTGTTGTAAACATATACATAATACAGTCAGACCCCCCTACAGTCACACCACTTACCCCCCTACAATCACAGATTTTTACGGAACGGAATAGTACAATCCCCCCCTAGAGTCACTAATTGTAATCATTATCACACTTGTTGAGGGCTTTTTTGATAGTCCTTTACAGCCACTTCACGTGACTTAAATTTTACCCATTATTTTTGCTGCAGATCATGCTCACAGAAGTTTCCTAATAAAAAACACCAATCCATTGCCGATTTCTTCAATGATCAATATTTGACTCTTAGTATTGACAGGTCCACAATTTCGAAAATTGACATAATAAATTAATATAATAACGAAATAAATGCTTTTGCATTGTTCATTAACATTACTTCACACTAGAAATAGTAAGCAACCATGTTTGTTACTTTAGTAAGACAACAGCGCAGATTAATATAGTAAATAAATAGTCAAAGAGCACAATCACATGACATCCTTTATACAGTCACACCTCCATACAGTCAACACTTTTGGGGGGTGACTGTAGTATGTAGGGGGGTCTGACTGTATAATAAAAATTTATTTTTAGCTAATGAAACTAAAATTATTATATTTCAGAATTCTATTTACTATTCGGGAAGAATTAATTTTGTAGCGGAACTCGCTAAACTAATAATATTCATTCATTATAATTATGCGATACATTTCCTCAAACAATGACAACTTAAATAACGATATTAATATCGTAGAAAATTTATTTACTATTCAATTAGTATTGCAGCATCGTGTGTTATGAGAATGACATTCAAGCATAGCTTTATATTTACATCGAGCTGTGGAGCAGTTTGTCTTACAGTTGCGATTGGTGAACAGTTACTGATTCTTAGGTATACGTAGCATTATGATTTGCATTGAAATTATTGGTTGAATTATTGGATAAAATCCATCATACGATGATTTGCCTTGATCGCATGATAAAATTGTTGGAATATGGTTAGACTGTAAACATTTAGAATGTAAACATGACTATTGATCTAACCATCGATTATTAGATTACGAGACTAAAACTTTACGATATTTGACCTTTAATAGTGTGATACGAATGCTTCGATACTTGACATCAATTTCAAATGCTAAATTCAGACATAATTCATATTTCGATAGTTGAAGACATTTTGCCTCTACACTAACGATGACAGAAACATTGAGCTGAGCAAGTTGTCATATGAATAGATTGTCATAATGAAAATGTATGCGGAGGGGATTGTGTAAAGAATCATATGGTATAACCATATTTCTTACAGGTTTGTGAAATGCTAGTTTGTCTTCAGTATTTTAACTATAGAACTGCATGAAGTAAATCGCAATAGCAAAGACATGTACTTAATAATGTAATACATTATTCGAATCTAATAAACTTGTCGTCAAAATTATTTGATTCTCAGACGATTATTGTCAGTGGGGGGGGGGGGGGGATGCCGAAAAAAAGAAGACCAAATAGCTCTCCGATCAGTAACAGTATTATTCCTAATAAATTAAAAAAAATTTTGTGAGCAAAAGTTCGGATTGTAGTAAGCTCAACTCACTCCTATTTGCTGAAACAAATTAGCGTTTGATATATGAGAAGCATGAAATTGAGTATACTAATATGATACATTATGGTTAACGCATATGCATGCATTATTATAGCCTTGATAATAAATAATAAAATACGTTGCCTTCATTGATTATTCAATTCCAATTTGACATATGTCAATTTAGAATTGACATAAATTCCAAATTGACATACAACATTAATGCATAGGTTGTAAGAAATCATGTGACAGCTTCCCAAGTCACAAAATACAGTCACCCCCTCTATAAGCACAATTGGGTTACAGTCACACATTTTTACGGAACCGATAATAGTAGACATATGAAAATTTACCTCCTTATAGTCGTATCACATGATATAAATAAAATGATTGGATGAGATTTGAGAATGTGTATTCATGAAGTATCGTTGCAGTCTGATTGGGTAGACAGCTTGAACAATACTTGAAGCATTGAGGGGAAGTTGACATTATCAATATGGTGAAAGATTATTCGAGAACTGAGTCTGGAGAAGTGTCTTCTGATTTTCCGATGAGGAATTACCAAAACTGATAAGTGCTACTGAAGCACTGTTCCATCTTACGGAACTCATTCGATTTCAAGAACAGCTTTCCGAGACGTTGTTTAGACCGGATGAGTTAAGGATCCTCCGTCGCAAGATACCAATACTTGAACTATTGGTGGAAAAGACTAAAGTGCAGTCAACGCTTGACTTTTTATTAGGGAATAAGTTAATCTCTTTATGTATATGGTCATAAATTGACTTTAACTGAATAAATAAAATGAATATCAAATTGTTTGGTAAAATTTACAATATTCTTGCCAATTAATATAAACCTCTTTACAAACACTTAACAATAAATTGTATATATATTGAGATTATATAGAGGGCCTCCTCTACAGTCACACCTTCTTTACAGTCACTGGTTTCAGGGAAACCGAAGGTGTGACTGTAGAGGGGGACGACTGTAGTCCGAAGATATTAATATTTGTTTACCAAAAAATGTGTAACTGTAAAAAAAACCATACATTTTAGAGATGGCAATTACATAGCAGTTACGACATGGCGGAACTTGCAACTATAACAACCTTTTACAAGAAAACGGCCACTCGTCCGTTTGCGTGGAAGCTGTTCTTAATAGCAATAATACTGTTATTCCTAATATTATTACGCTATTTAACACATCCAGACCGCAACACGTTTACATCTACAGAGCAATCTAAAGAAACGTCCATAGAGCCACTCAAAGAACCAACTTCGACGGAACCACCTAAAGAAACATCGACAGAAACACTCAACGAACCAATAAAAGCACCATCCGAAGAACCACCCGAAGAACCACCCGAAGAACCACCCGAAAAACCATTTAAACATGTTTCTCCTTTTTCCTCTGAATATACTCCTTCGACATGTTCTAGTCTACCCAGAAAAGACCACACCAGACCTACATCTTTCCGAGCGCTTGGCCCACCAAAGAGAGAACTTACTATATTTAGTTGGCGTTATGTAACGTACGGGACTCGAGATGCGAATAATTGGTGGTCCAATGCGTCAACAGAGTTATGCCCATATCCGCCAGAACTAGTCCCATTCTTTAGAAGAGTATATGACAAATTCGCAATTCTCCATTCTCCTGGAATTAGTGAGTGGCCAATTGGCTATGCTCCGTGTAAACTTTGGTACTATTTTCATGGAGACGAACGAGGCGAATGCAAGAACGGACAACGCTACCATATCCACACCAATTATACTCTCTGGCGTGAAGCGGACATCATGTTTGTAGATTATATGTACTTCCTCTACGAAGAGAAAGCGCCATTCGTTGATACCACCCAGTTGCCGCCTAGGCATTCAGGCCATACATGGTGGTTTCATTTAAAAGTGGAGGGATTGGGGTATTACTGGTTTACTGGACTGAAAAGTTTCAGAGATATGTTTGATTTGACAATGGGTGCGCCCGAAAATATATTCGACATATACCATCCATCATATCCCATAAAGAAAGAGAATACTGCCATATTCTATAATACGAATGTAAAATACGAAAATAAGCGCAATGACGTGCTGTTTGCGTGGATGGCTGGTAATTGTAATCCAATTAATGAACGTCAAGACTATGTCCAGAAGTTAATGACCTATGCAGAAGTACATTCGTATGGCTACTGTTTGCATAATAAAAATATTCCCGCTGAAATACTGAAAAAGTATGGATTAAAAGAGGACTCTTATGGGAGTGGAGGCAAAAATATTTATGATATTAAGAAAGACACGTTCTCTCCATATAAGTTCATTCTTGCCTTTGAAAATTCCAATTGCGAAGGATATGTGACTGAGAAGGTGTACGATGCGCTCCTGGTTGATGCCATTCCTATCTACATGGGAGCACCAGATATCGATGATTACGTTCCACCTGGGAGTGTGATCAAAGTATCTGATTATGAGAGTATAAGCGCATTAGTAGAACATACTAAAACGATAGCTGCAAATAAGACGCTGTACGAAAGTTACTTTGCTTGGAAAAAAGATAAAACACATAAGAACTTTTGTAAAAAGTGTCATTCTGATGATGAATCAATTATATGCAAATTTCTAGATAGAGTCGAATGGGTATAATTAAAGTGACGAAGACGTTGATGATATAAAGTAGATATGAGCATTATGACTAGCATAAAATAATGATTATTTATGTCGAGGTTGTGATGAATTATACTTTGGTATACTACGTACCAGTGAAATCATCATCATTATTTTCTAGGTATATATTTTCCGGGTATTTAACTTCGGAAGAAGAATACCCTTTGTCGATATGTTTTAGGGTACGTTTTCCGGGTATTTAACTTCAGAAATAATATATATAAATTATGGGATATGGTATTCGCGCAGTAGGTAACTTCAGGAGTATATATAATAAATATGGAAGAAACATCCCCTCGTTGCGGGTAGAAATAATTATTTGTTGAATAACGACGCAAATCTAAATCACTCGTCATGTATCCGCCCGCGGAAAAAGAGAATGGCAATATGTTCCTAATCGGACTGCTTCATCGATTTTTTAATTTAAACACATTTACTATATGTTTGTAGGAAAGAGAAGCGAAGCCTCGAGGCTTTGCCTCTCAGTTTCTACCAGTCATTGGTATAATAATAATCATTCTCGCAAAGCTTATAAAACAATCCTTGCAAATCTCTTGGTGCCAAGTTTATCAGCGAAGCCGCTCCCTTGGGATCTTGAGCATGTTTCATACGTGTGCCACCTGGTCGGTAAAGCCATGCAATTACTACATTCTCAATCACGTTAACTGCATTGATGCGTTTTTTCCATAGACGAAATGTTCGCTGGATAATAGTTGCTGCTCGATTTTTTTCATACAAAGTTACAAAATATACTACTTGGCTTCTAAATTCGAGGGGTTTAGAGTTATAACCTATATGTTTAATAAATTTTGCCAATGATCCTTATTAGTAATATCATATATTAACAAACGTCTACGTATTAGTATATATTTGGGTGGATGATATTTTGCAAACCATAACCACGATTCCCGGTGTTTTTTGATTTTGAATATACTGCAAACCATATTCAGTTAACCGGTCTTGGGCGTATTTGAAATCTTGAAATCTGGTCATGTCTACTAAGTTGATAATCGGTTCTAGGTTATACTGTTAGGTTATAGATTATAAAAATATTCTTTCAATTCGATGTTGCGGGTAGAAACAAAGTTCATGTGTGAGCCTGCAAGCTAACTCCGCAGTGAGCCAACCATGATGGATGCAAATGCAAACTCGTCACCACTTGGCCAAATAATGTTGTTTTTTTTCAAATATCTCTGCCGGCTAACTCCGCAGGTTAACTCCACAAGCCAACTCCTGCAAACATACTCCAATTTCTGGGATAGTTGTAACCTGGTCAAAAAAACTATTTCCAGAAGAGCTTAAAATGACTATAGGAGCATTAAAAATGACAGGGGATTGTAATAAGTGGTATATTATTTTCTTCCTTACAACTTCTTACTATTCTTGCTGTATGTATTGCATTGTCCTCTTCTCATTAGTATTTATACAAGGCATCAGGTGATGACTTAAAACAGTGCACGTATTGGTGGCAGGATGAAGATCATGAAATAAAGTACCGATGAAAACGCAGTTGAGACGGTACGCAATGGACAACCCATAGACACTGCATCAGCAATGTCTATTGCATCAGTAAGGACGAGCATATCATCTATGTCAGGAGTATCGACTGCAAAACGCCGGAAAAGGGATATCAATACAACCCTTGATCAATACGTTGTCCATCCCCTCTCTGTCAGTTCAGTGAAGAACTCGAGTTCCATCGTCGCCTGTTAAGGATGGTAGTACATAACAGACTATCGTTTCGCTTTATCGAGAGTAGAACTTTTAAAAGATTCGTTACTTTCTTCAATCCTTTGGTCAAAATTCCAACACGACAGAAACTTAGCAATAAAGTCCTCGTAGAATATGCAGAAAAATTGGAGAGGGAGCGTATATTAGAATTACAAAAATACAATGAACCTGTTACGTTAATGTTCGATGGGTGGAAAAACGTTCGTTGTCAGGAAGTATTGGGGGCGGTTTTGTTATCTCCATCAAATCAAATATACATCTGGGGTGCCGAGGATATTAGTTTGGAGAGCCAGAGAACACCGGATGTGATGCGAACAATGCGTGCGTTTTTGCAGCGGGCAGAGGATCAAAATATACGAATTGGAACAATTGTTACAGATAGTGCATCATCATTCGCTGCGGCGCGGTACGTAATTGTACGTGTTAGCATAACATGTATAAACACTAATTGCATTATACTTATTATCAGACGACTCATGCGACGTGAACGTCGGGATATTTGGGTTCAGAGCATCCAGCAGAGCATGTGAATTCAAAGCTTGGTCTTAACCAGCTTTTCTGTGTTGAGGTTTGTACGTGTTTTAAAAGAAAATGTGCAAAACATTATGGAAGAGTAGACGGGTTCGAAACAATAATATTCCACCAACGTAGATATCTACTTGATATATGTAAGAAGAGCGATTTGTTTGAGAGAAGTTTGTTAAATACTGTTGGAGTGGACATTAACAATGTTTATGTCAATGATATAAATGATTGTATATAGTAATAGTGGAAGGAATTATTGTATCTACATAGCCTAAATAAAAAATATGCTTGTCGAATGTCAAGTTAATTTGCTGAATTCATGTATAAAATGAATTTTGCTTAAATACACATGACCAGTCATAGTGTCGTTTCTGTCATTTATTTGAATGACCAATGACCTACAATTTTTTATCAGACCGGTGAATATAACAAGTTTGTTTACATCGTATCTTTTATGAGGCCTTCTCCATACCCATCTCCTACCATCACCTTCAAATTTTGACTCATCACTCCAAATAATGTTATCCCATTCATTTATCCATTCTTGTCTTTCCTTGGCCCAGTTTAGTCTTTTAATTTGTTACAAGTGGTTTTCTTACTCCTACCCAACCATATAAGCCAATCTCAGGAAGATGGCTGCTGCAGTAAAGTTATCCTTAATTTCATTCAGATTTGTTCTTCTATTTTGTTGGAGTAATCTTTGTTGTTGCTGGTCACGATATGTCCCGATAACTTTATTATTATGGACAGTACTTCGAGCTCTTTCAGGGTCTCTGCAATCTTCTCTTCACTTATCCCACACTTCCAAGCACCAATTATTTCTCCGCGTTCAAGTTCCGATCGAGAAGTAATATTGTTATTTAGTAACAACGTAAACAATTCATTGACCGAGAAACATAAAGGCTTTAAATTATTTTCCCGTTTACATGCATGAATTTAACGTATAATTTGTAAAATTTTGTGTTACTTATTGTAAACGAGCTAACGAACGGTTCATTAACAATAACATGTAAGTATTTTGTTAAAAAACAAATAGTCTATCTTCGATTGCTATTGTACAATAAAAAATAAAGAGCATCTGTATGTGATAAAAAGATCAGGATCCTAGAACAGGTTGTCCCGATCTTAGAATGGGTATGGGTCGTAACGACTTACGCGCGCTGGTAATAAAAATGCTTAATATTAATTGCAAAATGATAATCAATAGAGAAGCTTCTTTATCCATTAGTGGCAGTGAGCCACCTAAAATTTATAAACGTTCTTGTCATGTAGAACTCTGAGTTATTGATTTGTTAGGTTTACCAAGTCAACTATCAATTATCGGACAGTAGACATAGAATATTTGATCATTGTTCAACTGTGGCGTAACTGGCTTGTAATCTCTTCTGTCGATCGTTTCTCGAAGTTTCCAGCTAACGAATCTCTTTATTAGTAACAGAGAACGTCGATCTAAGAAAGTGAATGCGGGCAGACACACCTCTGGATCTCTTGCCAACGTTTTCATGATTCTTTGAGGTTACGCATACAGAATTTCAAGAATAATTATTAAGTGCGAACAGTATTTGTAGGAAACAACAGCTTATATTTGACGTTACACACAGAAAGAATGTGACATTTCTGTTCAACAGCTGATGTTATATATAGCCGCGCATGGCCAAATTTTCCCACCGAATATCAGTTTTCACGCAACTGGAATATCGACAATGAACCAGGTAAATAACGAATACTCTATCTCGGAGCGAACACATACATATCGTCGTAGGTCCTTCTCTGACCGCGATGAGCGCAAGAATCACACTGCACGTCATCGCCACCATCATTCGCCGCCTCCACCTCATACACACCATCAGCCTGTAATGAAATTTAATGCAGATTTTTGGAAGCAGGTTGGTAAACAAGAGGGATTCAGGAAGAGAAGTGTAACAGGAATTGGACCGTTGTCTTTCCATTGCACTTGCTAAATGCAAGATAATCTATGAGCGTAATTGATTGTGTTCCTGTGTTTATTATTATCAAAGGATTTCAAGCGGAATGTCATGAACGCTCTGTTCAGAGAAGAACGGTTTAAAGAGTTTCAGAAACGACGATGCTTAGACCAAGTAATGGATGTCGATGATGACGACGACGAGTGGCTAGAACAGCAAAAGGTGAGAATTCTTTCTACATTGTTTTATTTAAAAAGATACATTTCGATACCACCTGTCGATATTACACATTATTCCATTATCTACAACTCTAGTCATTAGTCTTGATGTGCATATGTTTCATGTATCATTCAGATCGTTCAGCTTCAGGTCGGATTTTCCCCATCGACGGTAATATTAAATAGGACGTGAATGGGATGATACGATTTGACTTATTCTTGTATGTCTCGCGATCTTTATTGAATTTTTTTTTTACATTGTATACGTTCTTCATCTTTATTGTTCCATATGTAAACACATGATGTATGCACATCATTTCTTCGGATATACATCAATTCTTGAATTTCCTCCATCATCTTCTATCCTCGCTTTCACATCTCTCACCCTATTTGCTTTCTTACTCCTCTCACCTCACTTTACCCTCCTTTCTCTTCACTCTCCTCTTGCATTACCCTCTTCTCGCGTTACAACCTATTTTCTTGATCCCATCAACACAACAGTTAATTCATAACATAGTACAAAATCAGTGGTCCACGCAGCAATCGACTTTCGATGGGATGTATCCAATGAACATTCCTAATGGACTTGAGGCACAGCAACAACAACTAATACTACAACAGCAGGCAGCTTACGTAGAGCACCTGCCGACAGAGATTGCACAGGCAGTAGTTGAGAAGAAGTTGCCACCAGAATTTTATACGTACCGACAGAACAATTCGCAAAACAGATTATTTGATTGAAATCTGTTAAAGCGGTGAGTAGGAAGGAAGCGATATAACTAAGTGTTGTTGACTGTGTCGTATTTATGGAAGGCACTGGAATTAGTATTGTATATCGATGTGTTTTAGTTTCTTGTGTTAACTCTTTCATATACACATGTAAATAAACACCAATGCAATGGTTCGAAATGGAGTTTTGATTTGAATGATTTGAACTTATCCATGAACCCGCATGGTTTAAGGTGCTACTAACGAAGTCAATGTCAACACATTGACAGACATAGATAAGGTCTTCCTCTATCACACTTCTTCTGAAGATGCCATCATTTATTGTGCTTTTATTAGTGACGTCATATGAAAATCAGTCACGTAGGCTAGCCACGCTGTTTCATCCTTTATTTAGTCTTAAACTCTCACAAGTCAGCTTCTCTGTTTCTTTATACTAGCTTCGCTGCATTGCCCGTTTTGGCCCTTCAGTCTGGTCGGGTTTGTAAAAAACCGCCGATTTTACTTACTATTATTACCTTGTGTGCAGCCTCCGAAGCAGGGAGAGAGGACTTGATGCGGACCAGTATCGAATTTTCTGTTTTTTTGAAGGAGAGACCACTCCCTTTTCCGTCAGAATACACAAGCAAGATACTTGAAGAAGAAAGTTATGGGCCTCAGGGCGTCGACGCGAATTATTTAATGCTCTGTGGCAGGTGGATATGCCGAGCGGTTAAGACAAATAATTGAAAAGAAATACGAGAACGACTCTTTCTAAGGATAAATCAATAATAGAGACTTTCAGAACGGATCTATAGTTGTAGTTTTAATTCGTTACTTCCTCCATTGCCTGTTACATGTCGTAATATGTCGAAGAATGGGCAACTTGCAAGATAATCGAAAAAACAAATGGGAAGTATCGGTTGGGATGTGCCTCCGGGATTCTGAATGTCACTTATGGTACAATGAATTAAACTTAGTAGAAGCGGCTGAGTTTCCTGAATTAGATGATATACCTAAACGAGTGTTATGCTTTGGATATTGAAAACGCGTCGTGTTGTTTACAGCGGTTTTTGTAAATAAAATGACTGATTGGTAATTTTGAATTAACAGAAGCTGAACGTGGTCAAATTGTTGGCCCTTTCAAATCCGATACTACAAAATCCAGCATTAAAAAAATTCTTGGTTTCTCATAAAAGAAACAGCCTTGCAACTCAACCATGAAGTAATCGTCCAAACTTTTGAATCTTGAGCATCAACACGTAAATTGGCTGAACAAATTAAAAATACATTCAACAAAAAAAGAAATTTGTATAACCTTAATTTATTTTTTTCTTGCGTACCAACAGTTAATATTGTGTGAGGATTAATGTTAATAATGTCCCTAATTCTTGCGACGAAGTTACGGTCAAAGAGAGTATACTGTCACTGTATTATTTTTCTGATAGATTTATCTAATTCCAAACTGACATACGACATAAGATACAAGTACAGTCAACTGCCTATAATTCGACCGCTTGCGTTCCGAGGTTATCGATCGAATTAACGTACAAGTCAAATTATCGTCAGTTAATTACAATAGAAATAATAATAAATGTTCTGTAGCCAGTGGTCGAATTAACGTATAAATCGAACTAAAGAAGGTCGAATTATCGGCAGTTGACTGTACACTCACCTGAAATAAGTAACGGACCCATTTTTCTTTTAGTTTGTAGAGTATATAAGCTATATATTAATTATTCTAAATTTTTAAAATCTGAAAAGCAACTTTCTGGTAACCTATTACAAATCTAATATTTGGTGGATTATTATTTGGCGAATTAATGTACGGTCAACTCTGTCTATACCGGCGTGAGTGGTTTGGCGGGTTTTGGCCGTTATAATGAGAGACCGGTATACGATTCAGCCGTTTAAGGGGTGAGATTAATGTATAATCTTTTGGTGCAGCGAAATTGGACCGGTACAAGGCGAAACCGGTATAAAAAAGGCCGGTATAGACAGAGTTGACTGTAATTGGCTTAACACATCATATGTATGTATTGATCATTATGCTAAGTGTGTATCTATTACTATGTATTTTCAACAGAAAAATACAGAATGAGCTACAATCAAAATAAAAAGGCCAAAACTATTGTTATTATATTAGTACCCGGGTATAAATCAAAATCAGCCTTCTGAAACTGGTGGAGGGTACATTTCATGAGGGGGTACATATGTTGGAGTTTTACGGTAAGTAGCGGTAGTGTCAATAAGTTACATAGTAACTTGCCGAAAAATTTGATGGGGAACTTCTCCATATATGGTTCTGATATCGATTTCCAGTTTAGTCCTTCCGATATATTATTATACGCATGCATGCATGCATGCATAAGTTTAAGAAACGTCAGATGTTATGAACAACGGCTTGGTCTCAATTGCAAATGGCGAAACTCACAAGTTTTTACAACAGAATTATAGCTCAGCCGTTTATCAAGGAGCTTTTCTTTTTAATAATCGTCGTGGTATTGTTGCTATTACTACGTCAGTCAACAACACACTCTGTCATAAACACATGCGGAGAAACTCCTCCTTCCAATAATTTATCCACAGAAGCCTCTCCTAATGATTTATCCGTAGAAATCCCCTCTAAAGACCCGTATGAAGAAGCAATTAAACACTTTTCTCCTTTTACCTCTGAATATTCTCTTGCGACATGTTCTAGCTTACCCCAAAATACCCATACCAAACCCAGAACGTTCAAAGCGTACGGTCCGCCCGGAAGAGAACTTTCTATACTTCATTGGCGGTATTTGACTTTTGCGATTGCAGAAGCTATCGATTGGCATACAATATCACAGGAATTATGCCCCTATCCGCCAGAATTAGTTCCATTCTTTAAAATATTGTATAGCAAATTCGCAGCGAGTTACAGTCCAAAAGTCTACGAATGGCCAGTTGGATATGCTCCGTGTTTATTTTGGTATTATCAACAAGGGGACCAAAGAGCCATCTGCAAAAATGGTCAGTCGTACCATATTCATGCCAATTATACCCTCTGGCGAGAAACAGACATTGTTTACATGGATTATCCATTTCTCTTCCAACAAAAAGAAGCACCATTCTTCCATACTACTCAAATGCCTCCCAGGCGTTCAAACCAGGCATGGTGGATGAATTTCCCTGATGAAGGGTTTGGATATTATCCGTTTGTTGGATTAGACACTTTGAGAAATATGTTTGATTTAACTATGGGTGCGCCTGGCAATATCTTTGATGTATTTAAGCCGACCCACCCAATCGAAGATACCGGTTTATTTTATAACACGCATGTAAAATTCGAAAATAAACGCAATGACGTATTACTTGCGTGGATGGCTGATAATTGCGGAACAGAGAATAAGCGTGAGGATTATGTCCGGGAACTAATGAACCATACAAAAGTACATGCATATGGTAACTGTCTGCACAATCAAGATACTCCCGATGAGATACGGACGAAATACGGACTGGAAGAGGGACAAACACCAGGTTATTGGGAAAACAATATTTATGGAATTAAGAGAGACATATACTCTCCATACAAATTTGTTCTTACGTTTGAAGACTCTAATTGTGAAGGATATGTGACGGAGAAAGTGTACGATGCACTGTTGGCGGACGCTATTCCTATATACATGGGAGCGTCTGATATCGATGATTATGTTCCGTCTGGGAGTGTGATTAAAGTGACGGATTATGAGAGTATAAGTGCATTAGTAGAACATATTGAAATGATAGCCAATAATAAGACACTGTACGAAAGTTATTTTGCGTGGAAAAAAGACAAAACACACGATAACTTTTGCAAACAGTGTCATCCTCTTGACGATTCGGATATATGTACATTCTTAGAGAGAGTTGAATGGGTGTAAAAAGTTGCATATTGTAATTTGACAGACTGATAATTAACTTACAATGGTCGTACGTTAGTAATATACAATTAGATTATTTATGCACAAGCGCCATAGCTAACTTAGAGTTTAATTGGTTCTTCATTTAATTTATGATTACTTAGTTGTTTTTAGATTCGTTTCCGGTTTTCCGTGTCGCTAAAGGTATATAATAATAAGCGACCTTTATCCCATCGATGTTGTTCATGTTTGTTTGATTCATGTTGTTATCCACGGAATATTAATGATCAAATAAACGATTCCCTTTGAAATCGAAATTACTCCTTTCTTTTGACCGGACGCTAATAAACGGCTCTACCAAGCTGTATAAGATTGTCCGTTGATCAACTACTCCTGATCAGAGGAACGAAAGCTCATAATTAATTATTAAAGACGAATATTGTTTTTAGTTTTATTAGAGACAAGTGACGTTACCGACTTATGTTAAACAATAATTCAAGCTTGCAGACAGATCTGCTTGTTATTCAGCGTTTTGAGAAACGCACCCAGAAATGTGGGACTCATTATTGAAATAAAAAGTACTATCGTCCACCTTCATCATATAAGGGGGCTCTTATTCACGAGATGTTTGGTTGCGCCTTAAAATGATCTACGAGTCGTCACGTAACAATTGTCCACGTTATCTCTATTTATTACATAATCACGAACTATATTTCATATAATAAAGTAATATTAATATATGACGTCGATTGTTGAGGGGTGAGCCAGCTATTTCATAACATTATAACCCTTTACCTGACTGAATGTCTGCCATTAGAGAACGTTAAAGATCATAACGAACCGAAGTATCAAGTTATAAATTTCTATCTGATTTGACTATTACTATGTAAAGACCATGCAATGTATGTATTATTGACAAATTAAATCGGTTATCTAACTAACTGTTATTGAATTGTCGTAATATAATATATGCATACCCTTAATGAACCCACCTCGGTTATATATATATTGGGCCGCAAAATGAGGACGTTGCTTGACGTTGGCTTTTCTTAATGGATAAAATTTTACTGGTATTACAAATAATAATAATAATAACGTCCGTTTGGTGATGTAACAAAATGGGAAATCGATTTGGAAATTGTTCGGCATCTTCATTTAGAAACTTAAATTTCTGAAAAAGGTTTTCGGGGAAAAAGATACACTCTCAAGACAAGATAATATATTGTTATTACAGTTTCTCAAAAAGACACTAACGATAATTAATAGAAATGGAATTAATAATGTAAAAGAACGCAGACAAAAAAACCACAATTTATTAATATCATACATAATTTAAAGAACCGACTGATCTGATGAACAACGGCTTATGGCGGCGAAACTCGCAAGTTTTTACAACAAAATTATAGCTCGGCCGTATGTCAAGGGGCTTTTCCTTTTAATAATAGCCGTGATATTGTTCCTGTTACTACGCCAGTCAACAACACACTCTGTCATAAACACATGCGGAGAAACTTCTAAAGATTCATCCGTAGAAACCCCTCCTAAAGATTCATCCGTAGAAACCCCTCCTAAAGATTCATCCGTAGAAACCCCTTCTTCTAATGATCCATCCATAGAAACCCCTCCTTCGAATGGTTCATCCATAGAAATCCCTCATAAAGACCCGTATGAAGAAGCAATTAAACACTTTTCTCCCTTTACCTCCGAATATTCTCTTGCGACATGTTCTAGTTTACCCAAAAATACCCATACCCAACCCAGAACATTCAAAGCGTACGGTCCGCCCGGAAGAGAACTTTCTATACTTCATTGGCGCTATTACTCTATTCCGACTGCAGAAAAAATGAACTGGCATAAGATGTCAAAAGAATTATGCCCCTATCCGCCAGAATTGGTTCCATTCTTTAAAACATTGTATAGCCAATTCGCAGCGAGCTACAGTCCCAAAGTCGATGAATGGCCAATTGGATATGCTCCGTGTTTACTTTGGTATTATCATTCAAAGAATCAAAGAGTCACTTGCAAAAATGGTCAATCGTACCATATTCATGCCAATTATACCCTCTGGCGAGAGGCAGACGTTATTTACATGGATTATCCATTTCTCTTCCATCAAGAAGAAGCACCCCCATTCTTTCACACGGCTCAAATGCCTCCCAGACGTTCAAACCAGGCATGGTGGATGAATTTCCCTGATGAAGGGTTGGGATATTACCCGTTTGTTGGGTTAGACACTTTGAGAAATATGTTTGATTTAACTATGGGTGCGCCTGGCGATATCTTTGATATATTTAAGCCGACCTATCCAATCAACAAAACTAGTGTGTTTTATAATACGCGTGTAAAATTTGAGAATAAACGCAATGACGTATTATTTGCGTGGATGGCTGGTAATTGCTATGCAAAAAATAAGCGTGAGGATTATGTCCGGGAACTAATGAACCATGTAAAAGTCCATTCATACGGTACCTGTCTGCATAATCAAGATACTCCGGATGAGATACTGAAGAAATACGGATTGAAAACGGGATCGGCCCCGGCTTATTGGGCAGACAATATGTATAAAGTTAAGAGAGACATACTCTCTCCATATAAGTTTATTCTTGCGTTTGAAAACTCTAATTGTGAAGGATATGTGACGGAAAAAGTGTACGATCCATTCTTGGTGGATGCTATTCCTATATACATGGGAGCGTCTGACATCAATGATTATGTTCCGCCAGGGAGTGTAATTAAAGTAACGGATTTTGAGAACATAACTGCATTAGTAGAACATACTGAAATGATAGCCAATAATAAGACACTATACGAAAGTTATCTTGCGTGGAAAAAAGACAAAACACATAAGAACTTTTGCAAAAAGTGCCGTCGGCTTGATGAGTCAAACGAATGTACATTTTTAAAAAGAGTTGAATGGGTAAACTGATATTTGTAATTTGTAGACAATAATAATAAAACATGTCAGAACACTTTATATTAATCGCTAATACGAATTAGATTTCTAGTTACCTTAATGTAATTATACTTCCCGCGTCATCTTTGGTTATTCAGGCAGTTTTGTTTACAGAATTTCGGTCAGATTTTTATAATATTCTTTACAAAAAAGTCTTTTCGTTTAAATGAGTAGGTGCTTGTTACAAATGACTTTAATTCTTCAGAATTGAACGATCATGGAGAAAGCAATTCAAAAAATAAACGCAAGACGCTGACTGGCCTTGAAAAAAAAGCTCTTTGTATTAAAGCGAACTCAATGTTGATATTATTTTCTTATCTAATTTAAAAAAGTTAAAGAGAATAATTGAGACTAAACAACAGAATATGTTACAGCAAACAAACATTCTTTCATTTTCCCGTTAATAAAGTTATACTGCTGAATTGTATAAGTCGAAAATTTGTGTAAACGTATATAAATTCGGCTTAGTGCGAAATTTAGTAAAACGAAAATCTTGATAAGCCGAATAAATTCTCTCTTCCCCCGGCCTTCGTCTTATCGAGTTTGCCTTGTATAAGAAGTCTTCGATATAATAAAGACTTTTGCTGAACCCGATTTAATTTTCGATATAAGAAAGGAATTTGTGGGCCCGCAGACTTAATACAATATGAAATTACGGGTGATAGACGTATACTAGGGAATCGTCTGATTATTTCCCAAATACGGTTATACACGTAGTTACCATGACTACTCTCAAGTTGGAGCTCCAGTTTATGTTTCCGACTTTGTGATTCATCAGATTCATCATTCGGGTTACCAGAAGAATTCTTGTTTTTCTTTCTTCCTACTGGTGTTAAATTCATATTATGCTTGATCGATGTTATCATCACTTATTTGTTGCCGTTGTTTAGATTGCGTTGTTCGATGTTCCATCGATATGTTTATTGATTATGGATGAGGCAATATTTGCTGCTGGTGATTCGACCAACTTCATCTTGCTTCTTATTTGACGATTTACTGGAGGTTGCTTATTAGGGGACAGAGGTGATGAACTATGTTCCTTGTGGACGGCTTCTATACGTTTAGTAACTGCTGATTTTGGTGTAGTTTTTGATTTGGTGTTAGAGGTCGTCCACGGATCATAAGAACTGAGGTCTTCTGACTTCGCTCCGACAAGCGAAAAATCCAACCATCACAGCAAAGCAATCCTTCATGTACAGTGGTGTTCAACAAAAATGGCATAAAATTTAGAAATAAGCTGCATATACGTAACTCGACCAGTTTTCAAAATAAACAACGTAATGAATGGATCAAAATAAAGCTTATGTAATGGACTATAATTTCCAAACAGACTTATTTTCAACTTACTTCGCGCTTTTTCCAAAACAAAATTGTAAAATGTCGCAATCCATTAACGAAATACAACGACAAACGATATTATATTATTGGGAGAAGGGAATACGGGAAGCCCCCAGAATACAATCATTGACCAAGATTCCAATTAGGACAATATATTACAACCTAAAATGGAAATGTAAAGCACAGAGGGAGAAATGGTCGTAAAGAAACTATAACCGATATTAATGCTCGCAGAATTGGAACTGTAGTCTCTCGCATAACTGTAGGACGGCATTTGGCTGAACATGGTTACAAAAACAGCCTTCCTCTTACCAC